ACCGACACCCGCCCCCCGAAGCCCCCCCCCCCCCCCCTGCCCCGAGGCTTCGGTGAGGGCCGCCAGCGGAGAATGTACCCGGGGCCACTTTTAGATCAGTAGCGTTACTACTTAATAACCAGAGCTGCTGTGCCCTGACCACTAGGGAGGCCTTTTGGACACGCTGCCATGCCTGGAGAGGTGGGCCTGCCCATCGAGGTCTTGAAGTCTGTATGCCCTGCGAACAGGGGGCTCGGCTACTTAACTCGCTCTGTGAAAGCCGCCAGCGGAGAATGTACCCGGGGCCACTTTTAGATCAGTAGCGTTACTACTTAATAACCAGAGCTGCTGTGCCCTGACCACTAGGGAGGCCTTTTGGACACGCTGCCATGCCTGGAGAGGTGGGCCTGCCCATCGAGGTCTTGAAGTCTGTATGCCCTGCGAACAGGGGGCTCGGCTACTTAACTCGCTCTGTGAAAGAGTTGATTCATAAGCGTCATCCGTCACAGACCGAGCCTCGGGGGTTTTATGATGTGTCCTAGCTATTTTCTTGGATGAAGGTGAAAAAAAGAAGTCTCTGGCTGGCAAAGGTGAATGTTGAGGCCGCGATAATAAATACTGATTTACCATTCCTTGCCTGCTACATTTGCTGTTGCTGATGGGATCCCAGCTAATGGTCCTTCAAATTTTCCCTTCTGTGTGTTTTTTTTCCATCCATGTGCGGAATAAATTTTGCTATGTGGACTGAGCCCTGTGAGAGTGTGCACCCTAAACTTAGATGTGGAGACTCTGCTAATCAGGTGGTCAGCATTGGGAACTCTGCTGAGCAGCTGCACAAGAGCAACAGTTTGTAGAGATCATTGATCCTTATCTATCCACAGTTCCATGGGTCATAGAATGCTACAGGTGCAGCATTATCCAGAGATGGACAAAATGCAAGATGCATCAGCTAGATGGTACATCCAGTTAAAAGCTGTGGGGTTTTTTTCAAATTAAGTAGTTTTCTATAAAATGGAGTCAACATTTTAAAAAGCAGATGGTTGTTACAGTCCTTTCAAGTTAGTGGTTGATGTCTTCATTAAGAGAGAAATCAGATGTTATCCAATCATATTGGGGGCACATCAGAATACGGGCTAGCACTGCAAAACAAGAGGCTGCTAAGAAATGTAATTCAGGGAAGGATTCTGTGTTGTTTAAATTTAGGTTTTAAGTCATGTTAAACATGGCGATCATTTAAAATCTTGTTTTAAAGAGCAAACCTGTGTCCCCCAGGTACTCTCAGCAATAATGTATTATTGGAATGGTGAAATTTTAATGCAAACCTTAAGCTCCCTGCACACAGCAAATTACAGTGCTGTGAAGTGCCAGTGTATACCAAGCTACATTGCTGGGAGCTTTGTTCCCAGTATAATTAGCTACTCCCTTTGCGGAGGTGGTTTATCTAGAGTACTGGGAGAGCTCTCTCCCAGCACTCCTACCACAGCCACAGTGCGGTGTTAAAGCACTGCTGTTGCTGCACTTTAAAAGTTTTCAGTGTAGACAAAACCCAAGCAGAACTGGAATCTAAAGGGAGTGCTCTACCTTGCCAACTCTAATATTTGGGCTTCATTCTTTGAGCTGGAAATAGATAAGATGACTCTGGAGGCAACATGAAAAGGAGGGAATAGTGTGTCACTCAAAAGTAAGCCAACCAGTTGCTCAGGGAGCAGAATTTAAAGACTAAACAGAGCCTTTTCCTTCTCTTTGTGGCAGAAAGGTGACAGAGACTTGAGGAAAGGGGGATTAAAATGGTTTTAAAAGCACCAAGTTTTTCAGCTCTGTTCATATTCACTGACACATCCATGGACACCCTCCTTTACTGACATGTAGGCATCAATAAATAGCATACAGGGGATGCTATTTAAAATTTGCACATTTACTACCAACATTAGTTCAGTTCACTACAGTATTCCCTTGTACTACAATACTGTATGGCTGCGTCTAGACTGGCATGATTTCGCGCAAATACTTTTCATTAAAAGTTTTTCCGTTAAAAGTATTTGCGCAAGAGACTGTCTACACTGGCACGGATGCTTTTACGTAAAAGACATCGTTTGCGCAAAAGCATCTGTGCCAGTGTAGACGCTTTCTTGCGCAAGAAAGCTCCAATGCCATTTTAGCCATTGGGCTTTCTTGCGCAAGAAATTAACTTGCCTGTCTACACTGGCCCTCTTGCGCAAGAAGGCTTATCCCTGAGCAGGAGCATCAAAGTATTTGCACAAGAACCACTGATTTTGTACAGTACAAGGTCAGTGTTCTTGCGCAAATACTCGCGGCCAGTGTAGATAGGCAGCAAGATTTTGCGCAAAAGCAAATGCTTTTGCGCAAAATCTTGCCAGTCTAGACGCAGCCTACATGAACAGGTGTGACTACCTGCCCTTTCCTGGTTATTCTTTGTGACCAGTCTGCAGTTTTGTTCAGTAAAAAAAAAATCATTTAAAATATAATAATCCAAATTATTAAGTTTTTATTAAATAAGATAAAACCTTCATATATAAAAGGACAGGTGAAAATGTTTTTCTTTTTTTTATCATGGATTATTGGTCATTAGTACATCTATATCCATGACAACAAAGTTAAAATATGTAGAAATATGTACAATATAAATATAATAGGATACTTGGATGGAATGCCGGGATTACTATTTGTCACTGAACAGAGCCATCATGTCAATAGTGGCATACAACATGAGTTTACATAAGTTTTCCTTAATATTCTTTCTTCACTCAGTTCCAAGGAGCCTTAATAATTCATCATTACCTTGGCTTCATTTCCCTCAAGCACCAATTACAAGGCCAAAAAAGTGGACATTTCTACTCTGTTAGTTCTTTAATATTCTTCTCCAAATCGAAGTAATAAGTCACCTTTTCCCTGTGGGCCTTCTCCATACCATCAGAATTGTCTTCCCATGAAACCGTAACATCCACCACCACTGCAGTCTCCTCTCTAACAAAAACAATGTTGTGACCTTTCTTTCTCTGTTCATTATGAACTGCAGGTTGTCTGTGTCTGGTATTTTGACTTAATCCTGATTTTGTATGGAAAACTAACCCACAGATCAAACAGACATGGCCAATTTGGGAGTGACTCACACTTGAGGTAGTGGCAAGCTATGTTACTGAATTGAGAAAATTTACCACACTTTTTACAAACCACCTTTATAGTTTTACTTTTGTGGACCATGTTTATATGCTTTGCCCACTTTCCAAATGAAGCTAAAATTTGTGGGCAAATGGGACAATTAAGCCATTCACCTGGATATTCCAAATAGAAAATCCCATCTTTTAATGAACAGCTATTTGTAATATTTGTAAAATTAAAGATAAATTAGTGTTAAAATGTCCCCTTTCACTAAACTATGGGTCCTCCAAGGTGTCTAAATACTTAAAATTTGGATTAAAATAATCTATTCTTAAATTATCAAAAGTGCTATTGGTAAAAATCAAACGTAAAAATGAAGAATTGTTCATTTGGTCCTCACCTAACACTTGACATTCCTGAACTCATTTATTTGGTCTAATAGGGAGGTCATCCATTTTAGTCTTGTGAGGTATCCACTCATTTAAAAACATTTTATTCATAGGTCCAGTGACCCAGATTAAGTCCTTAATATATTTACATTGTCAGCAGAGGCAGCAAAACCAATAGCAGGGGCATTGTTTAACCAGTCCAGTGCCAGTACAGTATGAAGATAAAAATTCTTTTCCTCCATAATTAAAAAGATGTAACCCTTCTCAGCGGGAAGCTATCCCTTTATCTGTACCTGGAGGAGGCAACCTTGATAAGGGTAGTTTTCCCCCTGGCAAGAGGAACAGAAATTTCTCAGGACAGTTCACCTCATCATCCCTATAAGGAGGGAGTGCCCTCTGCATTCTGCCTGACAATCCAACTCAGTTACCGACTCTCACCATGAGGAGGTGACGGTAGGACTTGCCATCTAGAGAGTTTCCTCGGTGCGAGCTTAATGTTGAGCCCTAACAGGAGCATGTCCAATTCTGGGCATCATGTTTCAGGAAAGATGTGGACAAACTGGAGAAGGTCCAGAGAAGAGCAACAAGAATGATTAGAGGTCTAGAAAACATGACCTATGAATGAAGACT